AGGCCCAACCTCAGAGCAACTCAGTCCCCTGCCCCAGCGCTGGCTGCATGCTATTCTAGGCCCACACCTGACAGGGCGTATCACAGACCCCTCCTGAGAGGTACAATCAAGAGGACAATGGCCAAGGCGCACACAGGAGTCACCCCCCCGGAGCCCTGAGCTGGTCAGTGGCCAAGGCAAGGGGATCTCCTGCTGGCCTGCCCAAGCAGCCCACTTCCTGCAAGTAACCTTTACCCTGAATACATGACTCCAGGGTGCCCTGTCTCCTCACATACCTCGTGTCCTAGCATTTTTCTTTATAGGGCTCAGGTATCTTCGCGGGGAAGGTAACGTAGAAATACTGGCTATCAGCCTTCGGAGGGCATTGCCAGGAGACCGATGTAAGCAGAATGCAAAGCTTTTCTGCACATGACAAGTTTAGCTGCAAGGGAAGCAGCTGGCCCACCCACTCTGGAGGGTATGGGGACAGAGGGAGGCCTTGGCAGCAATTCCCAGGTCAGTGAGAGGAGTCAGGGCACAGCGTGGCGCCTGTCCCAAGAGGGGCATAAGCACAGGTCTCACTGCGCCCCATGTTGTAGGCCTGGCAGCTCGGCTGCCAGGACGTGACTAGGGCAGACATTTTACCCATTTTACCCAGGGAAAACAGCTCAATCTGTCCTTCCCATGGACCACCTTGGTCAGGGGCCACTGTCCCAACTTTCATTGCACTGTTATCACTGAGCCTCTTCTGATGCCTCAAGAATTGTTTTCCCTCAAGGATGCCCGCAAAACCAACCCTATATCCCAACCGAGCAAGTCCCTTGCAGCTAAACTTGTCATGCACAGAAAAGCTTTACATTCTTAGATACCTTAGCTTAGCTATACATACAATTACTGCCAGCAACAACTGTACAACACACAGGCGGTTGGTTTCTGGAACTCTCAGCTTTGGGAAGTGACCCAAGGGTACAGCAGTAGTCGCCGGGAACCCCAGTTTTAGTTAGATTACAACAGCTCTTGTGGGTTGCTGGTTTGCAACGCTGTAGGTACCTGTATCGGCTCCCAGACTCCCCTAAGGCAGAGTCTGCGCCATCTTCCTTCTCCCCGCCCCTGCTTATAAGGAAAGCTACAGCTGGCAGCAACAGGCTCAGCCACCCTGCCCCTCTCCCCACTCCTGCCCATTTCTTGTTGTTCAGGTCTATTCGTTTGCCCCCACCTTTCTTCTCTTTCACTTAGATTTATTGAAAAGGCACTGGCAGAGGGATAAACAGAAAGGTCTTCCAGCTGTGGGCTCACTCCCCCAGTTGGCGACGACAGCCCCAGGCTGGGCCAGGCCAACGCCTGGAATCCATCTGGGTCTGCCACGTGGGTACCAGGCACTCAAGTACAAGGGCCATCTTGCACTGTTCTCCCAGGTGCGTTAGCAGGGAGCCGGCTCAGAGGGTGGCTTAATCCCAGCCCCACTCCCCAGCTTCTTAGCCCTCAACTTCCAGCAGCAAAATTCTGACTGCACTAGCTGCCGTGGCTTCCCCACCCCTCATCCGGCACACCCGATCCGATCCCAACATCCAACTGGCTGCCATTTTGCTCCCCCTGCCCCGAACTACTGCAGGGACCCGAAACAAGCCAACTACAGGTCCCTGCCCCCGGTGCTTCCGACGGTCGGTTCTGTAAAGAGGTAGAAAGTTCTGGCCAGGCTAGAGGCTTCCTGTGTGCTTGTCTCTGTGTGTCTTCACACGTTACGGCTTTACGCATTTCCTCTCAGTGCAAATGTGTGTGTATTTTAAGAGGAGGTGGCTCTCCCACAAAACGTGGGCTGAGACCCCTGTGTGAAGGAGGATTTTTGTTTGCTTTCTTGCCCTAGGAAGAGGCAGTGACGAGAATTTTCAGGGCCGATGGGACTGTAGGCATGCGCCCAATCTTTTAATTTTACGGCCAAGGACACAAACTCTGCTGAAACCGCTGGCCTCATCCAAGGTCACAAGCTACTTCAGCGGGAGCCGGGAGCCGGGAGCCGCATTCCGGCTCGCCTCGGGCCTCGCGGACGCCCGCTCCGCTCCACGCCAGGGTTTTATCTGGTAAAGCCGGGATCACCGGGCCACCCGACACCGCCTTCCGCGGCCCTGCCCTCAGCCAACCTCTGAGAGGCGGCGGAGGAGGAGGAGCGCGGGCAGGGTCCGGCGTCGCCGTCCCACGCCCCGGGACAGAGTCCGGCGCCCTAGGCCCAGCCCTCCCGCCCCGGCCCGTGTCCCTTCCCGCCCCGCCGCAGCCCCGCACGTGCAGCGCCTCGTGCACGGCCCGAGCCCCGCCCCCGGCCGCCATTGGCTGTCCCCGCGCCGCCTTCCCCGGCACCTCTGCGGGGCGCAGCGTCCTCTCCCCCGGGCCTCGGCGGCGGCTCCCCAGGACCCGCGCCACGCCCCGCCTCCCTCTGGGGGCGCGTCCCATGCAGGCTGAGGGGAAAGCCCAGCAGGCCGCGGCGCGCCGGGAGGTGTTCTGAGGCGGGTTAAAGGGCTGCCGCCCTGGAAGGCCTAGCACGCCGACGCCAGCAGGAGCCAATCAGCGAGCGTGAGGGCGGGGCCTCGTCACCTGGCCCCGCACGTGTCCAGTTCGCCCTGGCGGCCCAGCCAATCGCAGCCCGTGAAGCCGTACCGGCCCTTCTCGCGAGACGGGCCAATCCCGGGGCGCAAGTTGGGGCGACGCAGGCCTGGCCTCATGAATAATGAATAGGCCGGAGCCGGGCCGCGGGAGGGGGCAGGGAGGGAGGGAGGCGGGGGCGCCGCCGCGCGCCTGCGCAGTCGCGGCCCGGGTCGGCAGCTGCGGCGGGTCGCGCGGCTCCGGCCCATTTCGGGGGGCGGGCGGGGGAGGCGCGGCGCGCGAGCGGAGCGCGGGGCACCATGTCCGACGCGGGCGGCGGAAAGAAGCCGCCTGTGGAGCCGCAGGCGGGGCCGGGCCCGGGGCCGGGGCCGGGGCGCGCCGCCGGGGAACGGGGCCTGCCGGGCTCGTTCCCGCTGGTGCTGAAGAAGCTGATGGAGAACCCCCCGCGGGAGGCGCGCCTCGGTGAGGGGGGCGGGGGGCGTCCGCGCGCGCCGGGGGGGCGGGGTTTCTGCAGGGGCGGGGCCTGGCGAGGGCGGGACTGGGCAGGTCGGAGGTCAGGGTGAAGTGGTCCAGCGACGAGAGGGGGGTGGCGAGGGGAGCGACGGCCTCCATGGGGGCTGGAGGCCGAGGCGGAGAGGAGGTCAGGGGACGGGCGTGGAGATGACAAAGGGTCAGGTGGGGATGAGCGGGATGAGGCCGGAGGGACAGCGCGGGGCGGGGGTCGGGAGCCGCCTGCCTCGGGATGCTTGCTGACAAGGCCTGTTCTAGGGCGGCCCCACCCAGGCTGCGGCTCCTCCTGGGATGGGAGTCTGCATTTTGGGACGCATTCCATATGCCTTCCGCCGTGGTCGCAAAGTCCACCCAAGTTTGGGCAGCACGGGGCCTGGGGAGCGGGTCACCCCCTCCTGCCTGGATGGTGCTAGGGGTCCACATTGGAGCCTTTCTGGAAATGCGTCCCCGGACTCGGGTGTGGGGCAAGGGTGAAGTCGGGAAGGCTTGGGTGAGGCTGCAGGAGGTGACTGGGCCCCCCCACCTGGTGTTGGTGGACCCCAGAGCCTGGGAGCAAGATAGAGGGCCTGCACTTCCCTTTACTGTCCAGGGCACAGGTGGGACGCAGGCTTGCCCTTGTTTTTGTTGTCCCAGAGGTGGGGTGCCAGAGTGGCAGCCCCGCAGTATTCCTTCAGGGTGGTCTAGGAATTGGGGGCGGGGGAAGACTTTTAAAAATTCCCCCTTGTGTCTGTATTCCAAGGCTCCGTCCCCATGGCTGTCACTACAGGGTTATAAATAGCTTCAGCAGGTCAGGTGAGGCCAGGCGTCTCCCCCTGACTTTGGGCCTTAGGGGTGTGTGTGTGTGTGCAGGAACCCTTTTATTATCAAGGCAGTGTTTGTTCCTGATCGATCTGGGCTGGGCCGGGCTGCAGGGATAGGGTGTCAGTGGGGCAGGCCCTTGTTTAAGTGATCAGGTAGTGACCCAGTCCTTCCACCTGGCTTCACGCTGTGCTCACAGCACACCTAGACTTGGGTGGCAGTCCCACTTCCCGGGCAAGGGTCAGGTGCTTCCTGAAGGTCACCCAGACCTCTCCAACCGTTCCCTTGTCGCTGTCATACTGACCACGTCTGGCATGCGCTGCTGTGACCTGAGAGAAAGGAGTGGTTTCTCTCTCAGCTTGTAACACTGACTAAAGCTCCAGGAATCGCCTGGCCCGGGCGCAGCTCGGAGCCTGCTGCGTGCGATCCTCTCTAGGTCTGCTTTTCTTGCTCCTCCCTGCTCTGATCTCCAGGTCGAGTCGGTTCTGCACCGACTGTGGAGCCATCTGGCCCACCCGGCCTTGGCTTGCTTACTTCCTAGTTGGTTGGGTGCCAGGGCCTGGTGCAGGAGGCAGCTGCAGGAACCCACGTCGGCTCAGACGCAGAGGAGCCCCGAGCAGGTTCTGTTGGGCAGAACTGCCGTCGTCGTCGGAACTCCTTGGGTGTGGCTGTGTTGATGGGGCAGATCAGCCGCTCTTGGGGTTGGCAGCGGTGCAGGAGTCCGTGCGTGGCTGGTTCGTGCCCAGCGTTATGGCTTCTGGGTATCCTTTTCACTTCTAAAATCGGAGTTCAGCATTGCCTGGCTCAGTTTTGAAAACCCATCACGAGCTCGGGAGTGATATTATCTCCCACTTCCCTGACGAGCCTGGCCATCACGGGCATTTCTTTCCACCCTCATCTCTCTCGTCTTTTTTTCTCTTTTTGAATTGTCCCCTCTTGGGTAGCCACATGCCGAATTGTTTGGCCCAGAGAATGAAATGGGTTGCAGTGCCTGATTCATGGGCTCCTTTAGCTTTACCTGGGTGCAGTTGTGGCTGCCTCAGCTCCCCTCCCCTCGCCTTCCCAGGAAGCCTTTCAGCAGGGAGTAAAGGGCACTGGGCAGTTCCAAGCTTTCTGATGACCCTAGAGTGAATCTGCCCGCACGTGCCCTGTGCTGCAGTCCCTGCACCAGTGTGCCCACAGTCCACTACCCCCGTCAACCCCCGAGATGTAGAAATAGATCCAACCCGGCCTTGCTCCGTCCCGGGAGCTCACAGTGATAGTGTATGTGGGCACGGGTCAGGGACTCCGTCCGACACTTTCCAACATGTAATCTCCACCAAACAGGCAGGATGGACAGCAGAAGAACTCGGGGCTCAGAGAAGTTAAGTAGCACGGCTGAGGCCGCACAGCACACAGCAGGTGGGTGGCCAGAGCAGGTCCAAGCCCTGAGCTCGCCCAGTGTAGAGAACAGGAAAGTGGGGGATCCGAGTCTCCAGATCCTCTTCATGCCTAGCCCATCAGGAGCAGTCCCGGCACCCCCTGTGGGTGCTCATCCTGCAGCCCCTCATGTGCATTAACCCTGGGACCCGGAAGGCCTCGGTGGTGCTGAGCATTTCAGGGCCTGGAGAGGACCCAGCAGGCTGCTTCAGGCTCCCCAGAAGCGTGGAATGGGCCCTAGATGTGCTCGGGAGGGAGTCAGGACCCTGAGAAAGATGGGGAACCCCATGGGGTTCACTGGCCACCTCCGGGGACCGCGTTGGGCTCTTACATGTGAGGGCTCACCCCAGATCTTGTGTCTGCAGACAAGGACAAGGGGAAGGAGAAACTGGAGGAGGACGAGGCGGCGGCAGCCAGCACCATGGCCGTCTCGGCCTCCCTCATGCCGCCCATCTGGGACAAGACCATCCCGTATGACGGCGAGTCCTTCCACCTGGAGTACATGGACCTGGACGAGTTCCTGCTGGAGAACGGCATCCCTGCCAGCCCCACGCACCTGGCCCAGAACCTGCTGCTGCCCGTGGCTGAGCTGGAGGGGAAGGAGTCTGCCAGTTCCTCCACGGCATCCCCGCCGTCCTCCTCCACCGCCCTCTTCCAGCCCTCGGAAACCGTGTCCAGCACAGGTGGGTGAAGGCCTCCGGGCAGGACGTCCACGCTGTCCAGGAGCTACCTCGGAGGGGAGGTCCTAGTGGGCTCTGCCTCCCGTCCAGGGCTGGAGGTGAGTGGCGGCAGCGGCCTGATTGGTGGTCTGCTCTCTGTGAGAGGCCAGGGCGGTGGATGAGGCTGGCCAGGCTGCTGCGGGGCAGGATGAAGATCCCGCATCCCACTCCTGCATGGCCTCCCTGCTGCCCTCTGCCATGACTGCCCAGGAAGCTCGATCAGTACCATGGCAAGGGCACCGCCGCCACTCCTGCTCTCTTACTGCTAGCTCTGCCTGGCGTGAAGCCGGGGCCGCTCACGGATACTGTGAGGGGAGCAGTGCTGTCCCAACTTTCCAAGCAAGGAAGCCAGGGTGAAGGGATGCGCCTGCAGCCACCCAGCCAGGGTGTAGTGGCCCTTGGCACCCCACTGGGCACCGCTGGGGAGAAGCCTGAGAAGATGCTCCATCTGCTCGGTTTGCCTTGCCTTTGGGCAGACCCTGCTTTCCTCCCCCCACCCCACCCCTGAGGGTCGTCTGTCTGTCTCTGGACGCAGGTGCACCTCCTGTGGGGGTGTTCTGCAGAGCTGTCTGCAGGCTTGGGGCAGGCAGGTCGATACTGGGCGCTCACACCGAGGAAATCCTCATGGTTTATTATGGGAAAATTTTCTAACAAAACAGTCTAAACAACAGGCTATGGCAGGGTGGGCATTGAAGCACAGAGGGTCACACCACCCCTTGGGAGCCCACACCCATCCTCACGCTGTCTCTGGTGCTGCTGATGTGGCTGAAGGTGGCAGCTGAGGTCCCCGGTGACTGCCTGGCCCAGCCCTGCTGTGGCAGGCATCAGAGAATAAACTGATGGGAGGAGGGTCTCTCTCCCTCCCTGACACTCTGCCTTTTAATTGATAAAAAACTTCAGTGAACTGTGTAATCATCGCCACCTTGAACAGTTCCTAACTCATAACCAGTCATTTTCAATGAAATTTGAGATACTTGTTTGTTTTATCTATAAACACTTCATATGTAACTGAAATAAGAGAGGGTTTTTTAAAAAATCTTTTGTTTGTTCTGATTCTTCTTTATTTGGAGAGGTTTTTTTTGTTTGTTTGTTTTATTGGAAAGTCAGATATACAGAGAGGAGGAAGAGAGACAGAGAGGAAGATCTTCCATCTGATGATTCACTCCCAAGTGAGCGCAACGGCCAATGCTGTGCTGATCCAAAGCCAGGAACCAGGAACTTCTTCCGGGTCTCCCACACGGGTGCATGGTCCCAAGGCTTTGGGCCGTCCTCGACTGCTTTCCCAGGCCACAAGCAGGGAGCTGGATGGGAAGTGGAGCTGCCGGGATTAGAATTGGTGCTCATATAGGATCCCAGCACGTTCAAGGCGAGGACTTTAGCTGCTAGGCCACGCCGCCAGGCCCTGGAGAGGGTTTTTTTAAGGTTTATTTTTTATTGACATGTCAGATTTTACGGAAAGAAGAAAAGACAGAAAGATCTTCCATCCGCTGGTTTACTCCCCAAGTGGCGCCTGCTAGGATCAGCTGTTAGGGCAGTGGCCCTTCCTGGTCAAACCTTTTTTTTTTTTTTTTAAGATTTATTTTTATTATTTTTTATTGGAAAGGCGGATATAGAGAGAGGAGAGATAGAGAGGAAGATCCTCCGTCCGATGATTCACTCCCCAAGTGAGCGCAACGGCCGATACTATGCCGATCCGAAGCCAGGAGCCTATTCTGGGTCTCCCACGTGGGTGCAGGGTCCCAAAGCTTTGGGCCGTCCTCAGCTGCTTTCCCCGGCCACAGGCAGGGAGCTGGAAGGGAAGCGGGGCTGCCGGGATTAGATCGGCGCCCATATGGGATCCCGGGCGTGCAAGGCGAGGACTTTAATCACTGTGCCTCCGCGCCGGGCCCTAAACCTTTTTTTTTTTTTTAAGATTTAGTTATTGGAAAATCAGATATACAGAGAGGAGAGACAGAGATCTTCCATCCACTGGTACACTCCCCAAGTGGTTGTAATGGCTGGAACTGAGCTTATCTGAAGCCAGGAGCCTCTTCTGGGTCTCCCACACAGGTGCAGGGTCCCAAGGCTTTGGGCTGTCCTCGACTGCTTTCCCAGGCCACAGGCAGGGAGCTGGATTTGAAGCAGGGTGGCCAGCACACATGTGGGATCCTAGCATGTGCGAGACTAGGATATAGCCGCTAGGCTACTGTGGCAAGTCCTTGGTAGTCAGACTTTGTACAGCAGAGTTGTATACTGTGTTCTCTTTTATCTTTACTGACTGTAAGCTAATTATGCACTCCTACATGTCCAGTATTCTTTGACTCAAGTTCTACCAACAGAGTTAGAGGACAGGTGGAAGTTACGGGGTAGGGAGGCAGACATGAGGTCTGGCTGTCAGGGTGCTCTTCCGGCTGCCAGCGAGGGGTCCCAGCTCTGCTCCCCGCTGCAGCTTCCTGGGAGGCAGCAGGCAGTGACCCGGATGGTTCATCTACCACCTGTGCGGACAGCTCACCCTGAGTGTCCAGTGCCCAGCAGCAGCCTTTCCCAGCCCCTGCTGCTGTGGATGCTTAGGGAATGAACCGGCTGGGGGGAGATCCGTTACGAGCTTGAGACTCTCCACCTTTCAAGTAAAGGAATACTTTGGAAAGAATGTAACAAAATAGTTTAACCATACCTGCCTTAACATATTCTTTTGGGTCCTGATGTAGCAACTTAAGCTGCTACCAGCTTTGCCTGCGTCTGGTCTGGGTCCTGGTTCAAGTCCCAACTGCTCCTTTCCAATGCAGCCTTTCAAATCTGGTTTTCAGAAAAATTACAATACAAATAAAGTAAGATTTATGATGTATCTCATTAAAAAATGGAATTAAAATAAGTTTGGAGGTGCAGTTGTGGCCTAGCAGTTCATAGTACCAGCACTCGTATACAGCACGTCTCTTACAGTGCCAGCATGTTCTGGAGTGTGTTCTCTTCCCGGCCCAGCTCCCCGCGAGTGTCTCTGGGAAGGCAGCAGAAGGTGACTCAAGTGCCTGGGCCCCTGTCCTTGTGGGAAACCAGGATGGAGTTCCTACCTCCTGGCCCAGGTCTGAACGTTGCCGGCATCTGGAGGGTGAACTGGTAGCTGGATCTGTACCTCCTACCCTGGCCTGCTGACTTTCAAACACATTAATCTTTTTTTTCTTTTTTTGGATAGTGTTAGTTTATTATAAGAGACATGGGAATTATTTACATGATGAATGATTTCAGAACCTCAGTGGAACGGGCAGCTTCATGTGGTGTCATTTCAATAGGTTTCAGCCTAGGTATTTTCCAAGAATGTCACCGTCTCTTGAAGATGCTACGTCACCCCTAGGTGTTTTCCAAGAAGCACATCCCAGTCATCCAGAACTGCTTTGGTGGCTCCATGTTCTGGAAGAAGAGCCTCATCTCCCACTTGGCGCACTGACTGGCCAGTCTCTCCGCCCTTTGCTTGGGAGCCTGACCCCGAGCCAGCACTTCTGCTTGAGATGTTTCTGGGAGTGACGGTTTCCGCAGCACTCCTTTCGGCCAGCACCCCGTCGGAGAGAGGAGACTTCCCCAGTCCTTGCCCTGCTCCTGGGCTGCCACGAGGAGAGAGGGGCCCAGACACATGAATCTGTTAAAGAAAAGTTTGTTTTGGTATCTAAAAAAATGTATATCCATGCATTATGTGTTCATAGTAGGCATTTTTCATGAACTTATTTTTTGGGGAAGGCAGAGGTACACAACACGGATATTTCCACTGATATCCTTCCCAGATGTCCACGTCAGCTAGGACTAAGCCAGGCCTGGGCCAAACCAGAGCCGGAAGTCCTGAGCCTCATCCCGGTCTCCCACGTGAGCCGTCATCTGCTGCCTCCCAGGTGGAGACATACATGAACTCTGAAATGCTGCACAGGCGGTGTCATTATCCCCTTAAATGCTAATCCCAACACCATTCCCATAGCTGTGGGTTGTTTTGTTTAAAAAAATTTTTTTTTCTTTTATTGGAAAGAATTACAGAGAGAAGGTGAGACAGATAGATCTTCCATCCACTGGTTGACTCCCCAACTGGCCGCAGTGGCTGGAGCGGAGTCAATCCGAAACCAGGAGCTTCTTCCACATTTCCCACACAGGTGCAGGGTCCCAAGACTTTGGGCCGTCCTCTACTGTTTTCCCAGGCCACAAGCAAGGACCTGGATGGGAAGTGGAGCAGCTGGGATACAAACGAACGCACTTATGGGATCCCGGCACATGTAAGGCGAGGACTTTAGCCACTAGGCTACTGTATCAGGCACTTGTTTTTATTTTAAGATGTATTTATTTATTTTGAAAGTCTGAATTACAGAAAGAGGAAGGGACAAAGGTACTGATAGAGATCTGTCTGCTGGTTCATTCCCCGCATGGCTGCAACGGCTAGGACCAGGTCGGGCTGCTTCATCCACATCTCCACTCTCCATGGCAAGGACCCAAGCACGCAGGCCATCTTTTGCCTTTTTCCAGGCCGTTAGCAGGGAGCTGAGTCATGAACCAGTGCCAGTGCAGGGTGTTGGTGCCATAGGCAGCAGTTTTACGTGCTGTACCACAACCCCTGTCTCCCCATAACCTTGCTCACATAGAAATGACAGTAGAATCCCTCCTCTCGATCTTGCATTCCGTGTGCTTTTCTGTGTCTGGCTCCTCCTCTGTGTGTAAGTCCATGTGTCACACGTAGCAGTTGTGCCTTGTCACTGCTGTGGAGTAGTGAGTGTGAAGACAACACGTTGTTGCTGTGGTGCTGTCAACAAGGATTGGGCATCCTGAGTGTGGTTGTGACTGGTGCTGCAGGAGTACTTGGCGTCCGGATGCTGGGAGATGCTGAGGAGTGGGTGGCAGGTCCTGGGGCATGGACATGCTCAGCTTTTGTAGATGCCTACCAGTCATCTTAGAGAGGCAGTGTCTGTCCCCAGTATCCTTCTGGCTGGCCTGTGACATGAGCGTGGCCTCAGCCCCTGGCATCCCGCTGGCTGGCCTGTGACATGAGCGTGGCCTCTGCCCCTGGCATCCCACTGGCTGGCCTGTGACATGAGCGTGGCCTCTGCCCCTGGCATCCTGCTGGCTGGCTTGTGACATGAGCGTGGCTTCTGCCCCCACATCCTGCTGGCTGGCTTGTGACATGAGCGTGGCTTCTGCCCCCACATCCTGCTGGCCGGCCTGTGACATTATCACAGTGCTTTGGGCCAGTGGCCCTCAGCCCTGTCTCCTCAGATTGAACCCCAGAGCCGTTCCTCTTTCATCGCCCCCTGGTAGAATCACTGTTTAAGGTCATCTTATCAGCTTCTGGAAATTGTTCACCCCAGTGTCCTTGCAGGGGAAGATGCCTCAGAACCTGCACCCCCGAGCCAACTTTTCCTGTGCTTTCTGTAAATTTCCTGGGGCTTTTTTCTTGTCCTTTCCCTGCAAGGTAGCTGCAGCGTACCCTTTGGTTTCTGCCGAGTTTGCAAAGTTCCCATCCACCAGTTCACTCTACTCCAGCTGGGACTGGGCTGAGGCTGACCCAGCACCCGGGAACTCAACTTGGGTCTCTCACAGGGTTGACAGGGTCCCTGTTGCTTGCGTCATCACCCAGAGTCTGCATGCAAAAGTGGAGTCAGGAGTGGGAGCTGGCCACGGTGTCACTTTGAACAGCATCTCACGGGGTGAGCAGCCTGGCTGTTTGTCTCGCTGGAAGGGATTTGCCAGTGCTCACCCTTTCTCCTCACCCCTGCACTAGTGTGCAGTGCATTTCTGTGCACGATGTCCTGCAGAGAATCTGACCCTCCATGCCTCAGCGCAGGGACCATCAGTCCACGGGGGCCGGAGGAGACACCTGTGTGTGGTAGGACGTGGACTAGCTCCCTGGCTTCTGCCCCTCCCCGCCCTCCCTCTCCGTCTTTGGGGATGCCCTCAACAAGCCTGCCATGCCCACATGTGCCCTGCAGAGCAGAGCCACAACTCCATGTCAGGACTGTCTGTTCCTCTGCCCATTCCCACTAGCCGTCTTCTACCTCAGGGCCATGCTATCCCACTTTATAACGTGCACCCCAGATACACCCACAACAGCCCCGATTTTATAAATGTCTTTATTTGCCTTATATACTATGAGCCTTTCTGCTACAATAATGAATGAAGGTGGGGTTGATTAGTTTAGTTTTGTTGTTTAAAAATTTGTTGATTTATTTGAACAAACTACACAGAGAGAAGGAAAGAAAGAGGGAGGAGCCTGCATTGCTGTTGTCCCACAGAATGGCAGCCCGTGCTGGGCCAGGCCAGCTCCAGGAGCTTGGGCCAGGTCTCCCGCCAGGGTGGCAGGGACACAGGCACTTGGGCCATCTTCTGCTCTTTCCCAGACCGTTAGCCAGGAGTGTCCAGGACATGAACTGCAGCTGTACAGGGTGCTTGTGTCACAGAGGGCAACTTCACATGCTATGCCACAGTGCTGGCCCCAGAGGCGGGGTAGTTTAACTGTTACACTGTTCAGTCTCTGCCAAAACAGTGCCTGGCTTACAGTAAATATTTAATAAATACCTGTTATCCTAATAATTATTTTGTATACTCTGTCAGTAGCATTGAACTGAACACTAAGTATTCTCTTTTTTCTTTAAGATTTATTTTATTTTTATTGGAAAGTCAGAGAGGAGGGGAGAGAGGAAGATCTTCCATCCGCTAATTCACGCTCCAAATGGCTGCAACGGCTGGAGCTGCACTGGTCTGAAGCCAGGAGCCTGGAGCTTATTCCGAGTCTCCCGTGCTTGGGCCATCCTCGACTGTTTTCCCAGGCCACAAGCAGAGAGCTGGATGAGAAGTGGAGCAGTCAGGACATGAACCGGCACCCATATGGGATCCCAGCATTTGCAAGGCAAGGATTTAGTCACTAGGGCACCATCCTGGGCCTGAGGTAGTATTTGTTTAATTAAACAATATCGGGCTTCGCGCCATGGCCTAGCAGCTAAAGTCCTCGCCTTGAACGCCCCGGGATCCCATATGGGCACCACTTCTAATCCCGGCAGCTCCACTTCCTATCCAGCTCCCTGATTGTGACCTGGGAAAGCAGTTGAGGACGGTCCAAAGCCTTGGGACCCTGCACCCACGTGGGAGTCCTGGAGGAGGTTCCTGGCTCCTGGCTTTGGATCAGCACAGCTCTGGCCGTTGTGGTCACTTAGGGAGTGAATCTTCAGACAGAAGATCTTTCTGTCTCGCCTCCTCTCTGTATATCTGATTTTCCAATAAAAATAAATAAAAATTAATAAAAATTAATATCGTGTTCTTCAGTGACCCACAAACTTTGGGGGCAGGCGTCATGGTACCTCGTATTAAGACATCACTTGCAATACCAGCATCCCATGTCAGCACCAGTTTTCGTCCTGACTGCTCCCTGTGGGTGCTCCTGGGAGGCAGCCAACAACGGCCCGAGTCCCTGAATCCTGACCGCCCTGTGTGAAACCCACATGGAATTCCTGGTTCCTGCTGTTCGGGTCACTGGGGAGGAACCAGGGGATGGGTGTTCCCCTTGTCTCTTTGCTTTAATAAGTACATAGGTAAATATTCTAAAACATGAATTAAAAACAAGTTATTAAAACCGCTGGCCTTTGAGCTCTGGAGGTGGCTTTAGACCTGTGTGCACTGCAAAGCGGCAGATGGAGGCTGGAGGAACAAGAAAGCCATGAACATTGCAGGACCTGGACCTGAGGGCAGGGGGCAGTTCAGCTGCTTCCCATGGGGCCCCGAGGAGAGCCCAGTGTCCTCTGACAGCAGGGCAGAGGGGTCACGCACAGCCCCCTCCAGAGCAGCCATCTGGGCAGGGCCTGGGAACAGCCCTCTCGGAGGTGCCGTTGATGCCCCTTGGCCATCAGCAGTCACAGGGAGACCCAGCTGCTCCTCATTCATCAAGAACTGGAAACCACAGGAAGTGAGAGAAGGCATGATGACTTAGTGTGGTGTTTAGCATTTCTGGGCGAAGAAAACAGTGGGGAGACCAGGTCATCTTCAAGGACTGTGTAGGCTTGAGAGCGTGTTGCTCCTATGGAAACGGGCTCTCCGTGTGTCCTTGTCACTGGCTGGAGCCCCACCTGCCAGTCTGGCTGTGGGGCTGGTGTGTCTGGTCCCCCTGCCACACTGCAGGGGTTTGTGCACATACCTGAGTTTTTAATGCAGATCTGATTCTGTTCAGGGGGATGCTTCTAGACCACCTGTTTGTGTCTTCCAGAATCTTCCCTGGAAAAGGAGAGGGAGACTCCCAGTCCCATTGACCCCAACTGTGTGGAGGTGGACGTGAATTTCAACCCTGACCCGGCCGACCTGGTCCTGTCGAGTGTGCCCGGCGGGGAACTCTTCAATCCACGGAAGCACAAGTTTGCTGAGGAGGACCTGAAGCCCCAGCCCATGATCAAAAAGGCTAAGAAGGTCTTTGTGCCTGATGAACAGAAGGTAACATGGCCCTTTCGCATGCGCAGGTGCTGTGCAAGCCCGAATGGGCCGGTCCCTCCTCCCTACCGTGGACACGGGAGTTCAGCGCCGAGAGCCGCACTTGGTGGCAGAGTTAGGTGGTACTCAGCCCAGTCTTCTCCCCACGGTCTCTGCTCCAGGTCTCAGCTGTGGGCATGGGCTGCACCCTGCCTGCCACCCAGCCAGCAGGCAGGAGCTTGCACTAGTCCTTGCTCTGGAAGCTGAAAGATAGCTGGTATGCTGGCCTCCCCAGCGGTGAGCTGTAGCAGTGCCCAGCCTGATGGTTCTGTGGGAATCAGTGGGAAGTTAATTATTTTTATTTGAAAAGCAAAGTTATCATAAGCAGAGACAGGGCTGTCTTCCACATGCTGATTCACTCCCCAATGGCTGCAGGGGCTGTAGCTGAGCCAGTCCGAAGCCAGGAGCCTCCTCTGGGTCTCTCACATGGGTGCGGGGCCCGAGGACTTGAGTCGTCCTCCACTACATTCCGAGGCACACTAGCAGGGAGCTGGATTGGAAGTAGAGCAGCTGGTACTTGAACCGGCGTCCACATGGAATGCTCGTGCCACAGTTGAAGGCCTATCCTGCTACACCACAGTGCTTGCCAGGAGAGATGTTTTAATCCCAGCCTTGGCCTTCTGTGACTGGGTTGCCTGAGCATCCCCGTTTGTGAGCCAGGAGCACAGTACCTGCTGCCCCTTAGGGGTGGCTTCTGAGACTGTGGTCCCTTGGCACTGATGGTGGCACACAGATGGGTCTTACCATAGGCACTTGGCTTGTCCTGGGACAATGCTGAGAGGGAGTGACTGTCATTATCCACCAAGGTAGAGCTTAAGGTCCCGAGGCACAGCAGGCTGCCCGTGGGCCTGGGCCCAGAGGCAGCTTCCTTCCACACGCAGCCTGCCCCAGGACCCTCGCCCCTGCCACCCTGGCACCCATAGCGCCTTCGCTGCTTCAGCTCCGGCCACAGCTGGCTTATGAGGAGAGTCTCCTTGTGAGGGTGGTGGTGGGGGGGACGCTGGGTGCCCTGGCCAGGAGCAGGGGAGAGACCACTCAAGACCACTTCCTCACAGGATGAGAAGTACTGGACGAGGCGCAAGAAAAACAACGTGGCAGCCAAACGGTCCCGGGATGCCCGACGCCTGAAGGAAAACCAGATCACCATCCGGGCGGCCTTCCTGGAGAAGGAGAACACAGCCTTGCGCACGGAGGTGGCCGAGCTGCGCAAGGAGGTGGGCAAGTGCAAGACCATCGTGTCCAAGTATGAGACCAAGTACGGGCCCTTGTAACCCGTGCCCCCGCTGGGCAGGCACCGCCCCACCTCAGACCTCTGCCCGGGGGCTCCCTGACCCCCGCACACGTGTGGAGACTTAGACTCGTGGGCGCGTGACAATGCACCGCTCCTGGGGTGTTCACGTCTCTGCTTCACCATGTTGCAGCCCGCTCTGGGGGCCCTTCCCGGGGCACCGGCCTCCGCGTTGGCACCAGCCACAGAAACAACCTCAGTTCCCATCCCTGCTGTCCAGTCGGCTGGGGTGGGGTCCTCTGGTGAGCCACTCTCCTTTCCGAGGGCTATTTGTGCAGAGGCGCTGCGATCGGCCGTGTCGCCCTCACGTCTTCTCAGGGAGCAGGCGTGTGTCCACCGAGAGCAGCGACCATTGCCTCTCCCTCTGCATGGCAGCATGTGGCTGGCAGCCACAGGAGCAGTCCTTGCAAAGCCAAGGGTGGGGCCAGGTGGCCTGAGCTCCCACCCTGCTGGAGGTCCCATTATGGCCTTGCTCTGTGGGTACCCTGTGTGGCCTGTGCAGAGGGAGGGAGAGTAGCCTGTTGGTCCCCTCTACTGCAGGCCGCCCGCAGAGGCCACCTTGGTCTCTTTCATGTCCCACTGGACCGGGCCTCTGGGCCTGTTTCACTCTGCCCGGTGACCCCTGTAAGAAAGCCCCTCCCCATAGAAGGTGTTCATTTCCTGCACTGGGAGACAGCCCTGCAAGGCAGTGAGCACCTGACTTCAGCCCTCTACAGGGCTGCCACTGTGGGCCGGCTGACCCTGCCCCACCAGCAGACCCCAAGGCAGCAGGGGGCTCCCGTGCCCTGTGGGGTACCCGGAGGGCCACAGCAGGGCGGGATCCTATGTGGGGATCACTGTGGTCACAGGACCTGCTCTTGGGGACAACAAGCTCTTGGGACATTGACACAGGACTGGAGTCCCCTTGGTCTGGATCCCAGGACACAGGCTCCCCTGCCCACACCTGGCTGTGGTGCGGAGGAGCCATCCTGGGCACGGCCGTCTCTGTCCCAGTTGCTCCTCTGCCACGCGGTGGAAGTCACACTGCCCTGTGTGAACTGGGGCCATCCACGGGACCCTCTGCTGCCTAGCACGAAGCATACCTGCTCTGGGCAGGCCACCCGTGAAGAGGGGATCGCAGCACACGCTGTTGCACTTAACACTGGCTTTATTTAAGTCGGGGCTCCAAGTCACAGCCCCAACACCGAAGACTTTTCGTAGCAAATGCCAAGACCATGGAAGCTACCTGCTGACCCTGGACTGCACCCCAGGGGTGTCCCAACCCTCTGGGGACCCACATACCCACTTCTCGGGGGGAACTGGACGAGGGTCCCTGAGGCAGAGGCAGCCAGCCCCTCTGCACAGGGGCTGATCCTTCCTTTGTGGTTCTGTAAACACCATGTACACACTTCCACTGTCACATCCGCACGGGGCAGTGGCCTCCCGCATGTCCGTGCCCTGCCCCTGGCCACTCGCCTGCCACTCGGGCTGCTCACCAAGAGGGCAGTCCTCCTGATGGCTGTGCGGGACAGCCTGAGCTCTCAAGCTCTTCTTCTTCTTTTTTGGCTAGAAAATGGCTGGTTTGTGCTTTCAGTTTTCTTTTCTTGAAGGGTTGATGCTTGAGTTGCAGGGGACAGTGGAACAGGGCCTTGACCTGTGTGTCCTCCTGGGCATTAGGCGTCTGGCTCCTTCCCAGAAGCCCCTGCCATCAGAAGCCCGTCGGGGACAGAAACGAGAAATGAGGATGTCCCCAGAGGGCGACAGTGCAGGGCAGAGTGGTGCTTGGCTGCGCTGGCCACAATGGCCTGTCGCTGGCCTGGTGTCTGTCGGTGGAGTCAGGGTCTGGACTCTCTCCCCATTGGGGCTGACAGCTGAGCACCTGTGCTCTTCTGTAAGTGGAAACCGACCTGCATCTGGCTTCCCAGGGGTGCCAGCCAGTGTCATCCACTCCCCAGGGCTTACCATGCCAAGCCTCAGGGCAGCCCTGTGAGCCCAGAGCAGATAGGTGCTGAAGGAGCAGGAAGACACACACACAGCAAGTGTGTCCTAAACACACACAGGCGTCCAGGGGGCACTGGTTCTCCCTACGCCTGGCAGTCTGGCTGTTGAGGCAGGGTGCAGGGCTGGGAACCAGGGCCGATACATTCCTGGGCTGCCTGTCAATCAAGTGCAATAACTTTTTTTTAGCAAATGGCAGAGATGCTTCCAGGTGGACCGACTGCAGGGTGAGTGTGCCCAGGGCACCACCAGGGCTTATTTTTCTAGGTGCATGTGATGGATGGAGCGTGTGGGGCTCCACACCCCCTGGGAGTTGGCATTCCAGTGAGCCTCTCTCCCCTTAACCTTTGTAGGGGAAGGAGCCAAAGTCAGCTCCCTTCTCCCAGCCTGAGAGGGCAGAGGTGGGCAGAGCCCATTGGCCTTGCGTGCGTGAGTGTGTGCGTGCGAGTGTGGCACCATCGGTGGGCTGGAGTGATGTGGGCAGGGGAGCCGGGAGTGTGTCCTTTTCCAAACAGAATTAAATATTTTGAGATGAGGAGTCGGGGACTGTTTGTACTACCCACATTTCTTCCACATGTTGGGCTCAGGGCGTGAGAGTTGGGGGCCAGGCCCATAGCAGCCACATGCCCCTGACTGCATCCTTAATTGCTGGGTTGGAGGAAGGATTCGTACCAGGGATGCCAAGGCCCCTGCTCAAGGTGGCCCGGCTACCCAGGAGGTGCATGGTCCCTGCAGTTGGAGGGACCAGAACTCATCGGTCATTTTGTTCCTGAATTTTGGAGATGGACTGGCAAGGAACCCTCTTGGAAACAGCATCATCAAGGCTGCCAATGGCAAGGTACCCCAGGTCACAGTGGCAGAGCTGGGCTGCTACTCTGAGTGGACACAGTGGTGACTGGGCAGCTGCTCCCCTGTATCCTGAAGTCAGGGCAGCATCATGTTTGGCGATTTGACCCAAGTTCACCTCGTCCCCTTGCAGCTGGCAGAGCTGCTCTCAGCCTGGGGTTCAGCTCCAACACAAAGTGCACCCCACTCTACACAGGGATGTTGTCAACCCATCACACAGTTGGAGACACTGAGGGGAACCTGCCTTCAAGTGACGCTCTAAGTGGCCTGTTTGTCCCCACTGCATGCCAGGAAAGACCAGCGGTTAGGTGAACAGAAGGACCAAGTGGGAGGGTAACTGGATGTGTCTTGTGTCAAGGTCTTAGTGCCTAACCTGAAGTCCCACCCCTGCCCCAGGACTGTGTAGAGCCACTGGACGCCTGCCGCCTTAGCCACTCCCCCTATAAGAAGCCAAGCAAGGTGGAAGGGACTAAACCTTTGGTCTGCAGACTGAGGCCTTTAGGCAAAGGCCCTATCACCCCCAGATGCAACCCTAGGACCTCAGGTCTCACCTGCCACCGACGACCTGGCCCTGCAGACAAATTCCCTTACTGGAAGCCAAACTTGTGTGGCAGTGGGAAGGCAGGAGTGAACCGGCCTGGGCTACTTGCTGATTCTCTCACACCCTTACACCCTGCTGCTCCCTGACAGACATGTCATGCCTGATGCAACCTCAAACATTGTGACAGGGTTTGAAGGGCCAACACACCAAGACAAGAGAAAAACTTGGGGCCATCCTGGCAGCTTTTTTTTTTTTTTTAAAGATTTATTTTATTTTTATTGGAAAGGTGGATATACAGAGAGGAGAGACAGAGAAGAATATCTTCCATCCGATGATTCACTCCCCAGGCGGCCGCAACAGCTGGAGCTGAGCCAATCCAAAGCCAGGAGCCTCTTCTGGGTCTCCCACACGGGTGCAGGGTCCCAAAGCCTTGGGCCGTCCTCGACTGCTTTCCCAGGCCACAGGCAGGGATCTGGATGGGAAGCGGGGCTGCCGGGATTAGAACCGGCGCCCATATGGGATCCCGGGCATGCATGGCGAGGACCTTAACCAGTGTGCCATCGTGCATCCTGGCAGCTTTTACTCATGTGGGAATGTGGGAAACTGTGTATCATGTTGACAACTCACCTGCAGCTCCTCTATTCACTGACTCATCTGTCCCAGGGAGGAGGTCCACGGGTGGGTCAGCACGTGCCCGGAGGAGGAGGAGGGCAGGACATGTGGCCAGTTGCCTTGGGGGGCTGCAGGCCTCAGCACGGTGTCCCTTTCAGCTGCCATTCCCAGCCCCCTGGCACTGGTCTGTCCCCATTGGACCCCTCCCCCCGACATCCAAACTGGCTGCCGGGCATGCAGAGCACCCCAACAGTTCTGGCCTACAGTAACATTCTCTTCCCAAAGTGCACCCCACTACCAGATGACCCCTCACACGCAGCCCCCTCCCTGCTGATAACCGATGTTAGCAGCTAATCTGGGAAAACAGGTACCAGGAGAGATGGGTGGGCACAGGGGGCATCTGGAGTCGGCCTCACATGGACACCCTAGCCAGCCTTCTGCCAGCTCTCAATTGCCCACCTTGGGCTGGGCATACACCTGGCATATGAAGCCATGGCTCAGTCTGCAGAGGTGAGGGAGGACAGGGGGCAGCCCCAAACCTCAGCCTCCCTGCACTTTTTTCAGAAGGAGTTGTGGGTATCCACCTTGGAGAGGGCTCCAGGGTCAGGGCGTCTCCCTTCACAAGGTCACCTGGAGGCCTGCTGAGCTCTGGCTCTGTCTTCCCTTGATGAGCCAAATGCGGGCTCCCCTTCCTCCTCTTGTACCTGTGCCTTCTCCCCCAGCTCTCAAAGTCAGCAGAGCCTGGACCGGCCCCACCCCAAAAGCCTCCACATACCCTAGTCCTCTAAGGCCTTGATTCTCACAGCACCTCCAGGTCACTTTTACCTGCCCAGGTTGTGTCCTGGTCTCCCCGAGTCCTGCCCCTGCTGCCTGCAGCCCAGCAGCCATGTCTAGCCTGCTCTCCACTCTCCTGGCCTCACTCACATAATGGCTGCCATCACGCCAGGAAACAGACCAGGCTCCTCTGGCTGCCTGGAGGGCCCGCCCACCCCTCAGCCCAGCTCTCAGACCTGTTTGCAACTCCTTCCTGTCCCGGCTGACGCCCTTGCTGTCCCACAGCTCTGCCCTGCTGCAGCCTAGCTCTGGCCGGTTACACCAACTGCTAACTGAACCCGCCTGGCTGGGTGAGACGGAGTGCCATATTAACGCCAGGTGGCACTGCAGATGCATCCTGGGCCATGACCTCCAGTTCAGCCTTCTGGTTTGTCCTCCCTGCAAGGCCTCCTGGGACCTTCTGTGCCTAGCAGTGATACCAGGTCCCAGCTGACTTGGCCAGTGCCTTCTGCCCTCCAGGGGCTGCTGGTCGACCTGGTCCCCGGGTGCCACAGAAGCTTGGGGGAACAGGTGTGGGGGTTGTCTGAGGGAGGCGGGTGGATAGGCACCCAGCTTGGGGCAGGGGGCTGAGTCTGGCACAGCAAAGCTGAGGGGTGAGGAGTTCTGTAAGTCTTCAACTTGGAATCTGATCAGAGACTAGCACAGGGAGGAGGAGCAGTATCCTGCTTCTGTCCCAGCACCCCTTCCCCAGCCCCCCAGCCCCTTTGGCAGCTACATCTGTTCTCTCCTCGATTTGCATAGGTTTGCACACATTAACATTCAGACCCCATTCCCAGGAGCTTCTTCCCTAAGGGGTGTGGTGTGGGGCTTTGTTTTCACTCCCACCTGCCAGCTGTGGGGAGGCTGTAGACCCCCTGAGGTTGAGGTCACCCAGGGTTTGAGATGGAGGAGCCCCCAGACCCCAGCCTGGCTCTCCCTTTGCATCAAGTGATACAGTTACTTAGCTGCATAGGCCTGCCCATGGCTTCCTAACCCCAGCTCTCCGAGGTCACAGGCAAGGTGCGGAAAGAGCAAGTAGTTCGGTTGAGCTGCCAGCAGTGGGATTCTCCTGGCTGTGGTGGGCATTCTGCCACTGGGGTG